CTGAGACTGCACCTTTTAGTACGGTGTGCCTTATGGTCGTGAAAATACGGTAAATAAATGAAGTCGGATGAGTTTGACAATGTTTTTCACTTCTTTGTTTCCTGCAGATTGGACCAGAACCATAACTTCCAGTACTTTGACTTGGACCAGTCCTCTATTCTCTGCCTCCAAATGGTACAAAATGCTGCAAGCTGTTTACTGACTGGTAAGAAAATAAATTAGCCCATCACTCCAGTAACAATTATACTTTTAGTTTTTAAATGTGTATTTATTCTCCTTCCTCCTACCTATCTGAACTGATCTCTGCTCTGAAAAAAGCCATTAGCTCAATTAATGCTGTTTATTTCCAGCTCTAAACTTATTTCTCTTTTAGACTCTGGAATAACCTGCGTCTTCACAGTAAACAACCTCTGGAGAATTTTAAATAACTTTTAAATGAACTGGCCTTTAGTTCAAGAGGACCTAAATGTTTAGTTTTTAAGTTCTTGTTTCATATTGTTGTTCTTTTTATCGTATCCCTCATTATATCTTTTATGCTTCTGGCTATTTTGTTTGTTTTAGCAGCTGTTGAGTCGTTTTCCTTTTTGATGTTTATCCTTTTTATTTTATTTTCACTGTGAGGCTTTTCTTTTAACATATGACCATCTTGCTTGTAAAGCAGCAAGAGGTGTTGGAAATGTGCTAAATAAATACATTTGATCTTGATGCTGAATAGAGAGGAAGTTGAGGGCGCCACAAGGATCTGATTTTTAAATGAGCTAAATATGGTAAACAGACATAAGGTCGCGTCCCTATTTCCAACACAGGTGTTGCTTAAGGACGAAAAATCTACTCTTAGTTATGTGCTGTTATTGATTTAAGCATTGCTTTAAATTAGGAAGATGAGAAACAAATGGAACGATGCTAGATAAAATGATCTTGCTTATTATTGCATAACAGATTGGTTCCATGTTTTACAAATAAAGCAGCAAATCTTTGAGTGGTAGAAAATCTAAACAAATCTGGGAGCAATGCATAAAAAAAAATGTCTTAGCCGACATTTAAGGTCACTTTAGTAGAAAAGGCTGTCAGAGTCACAGAAGGATCAAACTGGGAAAAATTAAATCTAGATAAATCATTTTGTCTTAAAATAAGTGCATTTGTTCTTGGATTGAGAAGGTGAAAGAGACATTATGCAAATGGAAGAAAACAAAAGGTAAGAAAACACAATTGCATTGTCTTATTTTGAGTGCATGTCATCTAATTATCTTATTTTAAGAGTAAAAATACTCATTCCATTGGCAAACTGTCTCATTTACCTACTCAAATTAAGGATAAATACACTTAATATAAGACATTTTTTTTTACTTATTTCTAGATAATTTTTCCAGTGCAGATGTTAAACCATTAGGCACCTCTCAAGCTAAAAAGGACATTTTTATTTGCTTAACCAATTTATCCGTTGCACCATAAAAGAAAAAAGCTTATGATATCAAATATCCTGTTCCAAGAAAGAATATCAATAACCACCAATAAACAATATTTAAACAAAAACACCACTTTAGGAAAATATCCTCCATCCAGTACATGAAAGCAGAGAGCTGAGTCAGTCCTTGCTCAGTTTGTTTCTTCTGCTTCCTCTCACTTTCTTCTAGTTTCCTTTTTCTTAGTGTTATTAGGTTTTAGGCCAGGAAAAGTTTTGTTTTTTTAAACTCACTGGCCCTTTAACTTCATTGAGATTTGACTGTATGGAGTACCAACTCTGCTATATTTAAAAATAAATACAGAAATAAATAAATGCTCAATAAACAGATAAGCATACAATTAATTGCCACCAAAAATATAATAAACAATTAAATGTAGGTAGAAATTAAATTATACAGTGTGACATAAATGTATATAACTCTTTTAATTGGCTTCTTTTTTTATTTGCCTTTGTAATATTTATGCCTTTATTTTATTTTTTTTGTCCTTTATAATCTTCAACTTTATTTTTTAATTACTTATATTTTTAAGTATTTATTTATGTGCATGTTACAATATTTTTGTCTGTTTTATTCTTCCTTTGTATTTTTTTACCCTAGGTTTGTTTCTTCGCTGCTATTTATTTCTGTCTGCCCTTTTTACAGTTCTGTATGCATTTCTGTCTCATTATGCAAATGAGGAGGGGGTGTGTCTTAGAGAGTCTAATCTGTACTGGTATAGTTTTTGACCCGTTATTTTATGGTCTAAAGAGAGATAAAGAGTTTTGTGATTCATTATTGTGTGCATAATATTACAATCGTATCCCTTATTTTATTGCTTTTAATGCTTAATACTTTCTTTCATCTGTAGCTGGTGTCAAATTCTTTATTAATAAAGTTATTGACGATGATTATGATGGCAATTCGTTCATTAATTTATTTAATTCATTTTACACCCCTTATTTTTTAACTCTGCTGCTCAGTTCTCATAATTACTGCCACAGAGCATCAGTGATTGAAAGCATGACTGCGGACTCTGGGTTATGCTGGTTTTTGTGCCTTGACCCACATTTTTGTCTGCTGTCATTGGTGTATTTGTAAAACTCAGGACACAGCACTTCTTTTACAATATTATCTGGGTCCAGTGGTATTTCTTTTAATTCAGTTTCATTTTAATATTACTTATAATACAGTTGAACAAAGCTGATTATAAACCTTTTTGGAGACTATGACTTGCATTTTGAATGTAGCCTTAATGGCCTTCTTTTTTTGAGCTAAAAGTGTTACATTGACTTCTGACATCAAAACAGAAATGTTCATAAAAATAAAAAAAACGTAGTTTTAGCAGATCTTATTCATAAAATAAAAAATCCAGTTGCTTTTTTATAAATTAGAATATCTTAGTTTGATTAATGACGCAGCTGAAGTGTAGAAGGAAAAGCTCATTCTATACACTTTCGTCTTACACAGTGATCTTTTTTCAGTGGTGTTTGGCAAAACACCTGACTTCACAGTTGTCCATAAAACTGAGCAGCCCGCACGACGAGGCCGTCGCATAAAATCGCATAAAACTTCAACATGCCAGGAAAAAAGTGTGGCAAAAATGGGTAATCAAGGTCTCAGTAGTGGGGGGAGGAGTGTAGAGGAAAACCAGGTCACTTGAGGTCCAGAATAAAGTTTAAAAGTGCAACATTTTTTTGGTCCAAGGAGTTTTCATCAACAGTTAAGTCAGCTCAGATGTTAACTCTGCAACTCTTAGCACCAGTCTAGGCATGCTAATCATCATTCACAGTTAAGGCAGGCGAGTATTCTCTCCTCAGCTACTGGCTCCAGCATCTCATTTGGCAGCACTGTTCAGTAGTTACTGGTGCCAGCTTCTTATTGATTAGATCAGTAGCAGGGAGTCCAGGAAGAAGGCACTGCTGAGTGCAAATAAGCTTAAATGTACAGTAACACCAATACTTCACCATAGAGTTTGGCCTGTTTTTCAGTGCTTACTCCTGTTTCCCTCCTAGAAGTAGCTATGGGCTCAGCTTTTACTGCAACTAACTGTATGTGCTCTCCTTCATTCCTTATGGCATGAAAACTGACTCATAGCAGGTCTGCTGAAATGTTTCTCTTCTAGTCAGTGACACCTATGAGTTTAAGTTACCTTTTCTAACATAGAAAGTATTCATTTTTGTCTCCTTCTGTCTCATTTAACCCTAAATCGGGCTCAGAAGGCTGCTAACACCATGGTTTTTCCTTAAATTTTTTCTATTCCATCGTCGCTGCATGCATGCCTAGTGTGAGGAACTGATTTAGACTCAACCACATGCTTATCCAAATGGAGAGGATCCTGCATGATGAATGACTGGATGCAATCAGCTGGTTTTCCATAGATCACATGTGTTTTGATTTGGTGCTTTAGAAAAAAAACTGAATTGAAAATGTGATATTAAAGGGGCTTTTAACATGAATTATATGTTTCTTGATCTACAAGCCATTAAATTCACAAAGACCCTCAACTTATAAAAATAGAAACAGAAATAAATCTTAAATGAATCAATAAAGCTGAATTTTTAAACTTAATCCCTGATTTATAAAAACGTATTGATTGTATCCTAATTTATTGAGATTAACTTGCATGTCAACAAATAAGTGAGGAGGGGAGAAAACTGGCCTAAAATATCACAGAAGTAGGATCAATGCAACATAAGCAGGCAAAAGATAAATGGGATAAAACATTGACTAGTTGAAATCATCTCTTTTGCAGAGATCATCTCATTAAATAGTGAAGTTTATTCAATTTTCTGCAGGGTAAGCCCTACATTTTAATTAATTCAATTAGAAGTGTTGAAAACCAGACCCAATTTCAGCTCCTGTTCTTGTTTGATGGTTTAATTTATTAGCTATTTGACATCTATTCTCAGAGTCTACTTTTTCAGATGAGAGGGATTTCAAAAATCTCTTTGCCTTCCTGACGCATCTCTTTGCTTCAGACTTTTACATGGAGGCTCACCTCGCCAGGCTGCTGTTGGCGGAGCTCTCGCCAATCTGCGAGCTGGCAATCCACTTGGTCTCCCCCACCACCGTCCTGGCATGCGGCAGGCGTCCAACGTCTTTCACCGTCATCATGAGGTGCCGCGAAGACTTGAGGACCCTGACGGCCTCGTCATGCGGGATGCTCAGGAAGTTGTGGCCGTTCACCTCCAAGATCTGGTCGCCGACCTGCGGGGAAGGAGTGGAAAAGAGAGGCGTGGTGGGAGGGGCTGAGCGAGGCGGTGAGGGCGGAGCAGGCAGAGACTGCCACATGCACGGGTTAAGAGGTCAGAGGTTAGAGAGAGGTGGAGGTTTGTACATTGTTTAATGACTCAGAGTGAGCAGCAGCTGGGGTTCGGTTAGTTTGGTCAGCGGACGGTGATAATTAGGACTAAAGTGTGCTCTGCTCACCAACTGGTTCAAGAACTACTTCACATGCAACTGAAAAGGCTCTCAAAGGTAATTTAACTTTAGATCAAAGAGTTCAGGCTGCAGAGGAAGAGTAATAACGTTCATACTAAAAACAACCTTGAAATGCACCTTCAGTTTCCAGTGATGGTTCTGTTCTGTAGCTGCAGCTTCCAACAAGGTGAAACAGGGGCTCTTATCTGCTCTGAAGGAAAATGGCTCCTATATTTCTGCTCTAAGAACAACTAATCTCAGAGTTTTCAGTCACAAATTTCTAGTTTCCTACAGCCAGTGAGCAACGGATGTGATCTCATCTTTGAGTGAATGATTTTCTAGAGATTTCCATCTCTAAATCCCATTTGCTCCCAGCAGATTAGTCCATGGAAGGGAAAGTATTTCAGATTCCCAAATGAAGCCGCAATAAAATCCCAGAAAACAACAATAGGAAAATTAAAATGTGATGAGAAAGGCCTATAATGAATCCAAGAGGACAGAAACATTGTCTAGAAAATAAACTTGCTTGGATTGCGTTAAGACCAAAGGTCAAAGTAAGGGTCACCTTCAAAGACGACCTTAATTTGTTTATCTGCAGAAACATTTTATCCTGTTTTTCTTACCTAACAAGAAACTCTGATTGTTTACCACATGGTTGGACATGACCTTACCTGCACATATCCTCCCTGCATTCATCATTTGAGGTCAACTGGAAAAACTATATCGCTGCAAGAAAACTGAAGGCTCATAAATGGCAGCTTATTTGTTTTTCAGATTATAAATACCTGCAAACTAAACCTCCTACTCCTCCTTTATCCCTGGGTTTTAGATTAGCTCTGCTGAGATGCTGCAGTTCTGCTCAGTCTGATCACAGCACAGCCTTTATGCATAGATGTAGCGGGATGGTAATTACATTTGTCACTAAAATATTCAGCGGTCGAATGAGCTCATGATATAAATTCATATTTTGGGAGTAGAAAAGTACACCGAGCTGAAGAGAGGAAAAGAGATGCTCTGGTTGTAAATAAGGCCTGCTGTCCCTGTCAGAGATGAGAGACTTTAAAGAAGCCGACTCGCCTGTTTCCTCTTTAAAATCTGAGCCTGAACAGCACAACAAGGCTGCTGAGGATAATAAACTCACTCTTTTCAACTTGAAAATATGCAACTGGTTACTGGAACAGATGTATACTTGGAGGTGTATTTAAAATATATTGAATTATATCAATAACAGCAGCAATCAACAAATAAAAAAAGAAAATCTGATTTAAGCTAAATCATTAGAAGAAAATCATGTTCTCTTTATTTGCAAACTAAAGTGTAGCTGCTTACTGTTAAATATATTAAAAATGATTATCTTATCAGGTATTTACATGAGAAATAAGCAGAATGTATACTTTTAGATCTGAACTTAATGTTTTCATCAATAGAATAGCGCATAATATTTCCTGATATCAAAGATCCAGAATGCATATGTACCGTAACACATGTGATTAAAAACAGTGCAAGTAAAACTATAGTAAGGTACAGTCTTGCTCCTGACATTAAGTTTAGCAATAATCTATTTTATCATAAAGAGCTTAATAATTTCCCCCAATTTGTGTTCGAGCGGACAAAACAGAGAACAGACTTTAAGAAGACAAACTAAGGAGGAAAAAGTATTGTAATGGCAATAAAGCCCCCCCAAATATAAAAAAAGTAAAAAAAAAACAACTTTATATGTTTTTTTTTTTTTAAGAGAAAGAAAATATTTAACTGTGCAAAGTTGGAACTCTTTTTACAATGTCTATCTCCGAATTTTTATTATTTAAATAAATGAAAATAATTTGTACCGTAACTCTTCTAAAATAGGATGGGGCCTTTATTTCACTCAGCTGCATCTTGGTCCATGCCATTATTAGAAGGAGGCCAGAATAGGCCTCTATTTCTATTTCATCAAAACAGACAACCAGTGGAATGAATAAAAACGACATTTTGTGTCTCTTTGAACCTATAAAATACTAGGTTCACTTATTGAAAAATGGCATACCGAACATTATTCAGACATCTTCCAGCATCTGCAATTTTTCTGCACGCCAATATGGAGAAAAAAAAGACACAGAAAGGAATCTTAGCCAAACTGACTTGGAAACTGTTCTGCCATCACAGCGAAATTTTATTTGAGGCAGGCTAAGTGGAAATAGTTTACCAGTATCATATATTTCAAAGGAAGTTCAGAACAACGAAAGCCAACGAAATTCTGTCATTTTACGCTGCCTGATTACCACCAGACCTACCGGTAATCACATTTGTCTTTCAAATCAGAACAACTGGCCACTACGATCTCTGTGTAAGCATGAAACTTTGCATGCTAATGGACTGGATTCGTTAGCAAACATTGCCCCCTGTGGTACTTACTATCAAAAGTTATCAAAAGTCCGGCCAGTATTTACCTCTGCGACAGCAAGACCGCCCATTATTAGAGACCCAGCCGCTAATGGAATACAGGCCAATATTAGAGGGTTTACGGTAATTCATTTCTTTTAGGGGTATGAGTTGTTTTGGGCCCAAGCTTCTTATCCTTGGTGGCAATGGAGCATTTAACTTTGAAACCTATCATTTTTAGGTTTTCATATTTATATAATGTAGCTCCATCAACTTTAAATTGACCCTTTATATGGCACTCATTGAAAACTTTGAAAATTAAAAATTTCAAGCCAAGAGTGCTATTGGAAAATGAAAAAAATATGCAGATTTTGATTGCAACAATCGAGATCAATGTAATAACAAGAAAAGGTCACTTGCGCTAATATGTTGAAAAGCATGAGAGAAGTGCTTCTATAAGAAAAACACTCAGAATGAAAGAAACACATCTTTTTTGTTACAACATAACCTTAGAGCATACATGCTGATACTGGCACTTTTACTTTTTAACTTAGTTTATTAACTTTTTGTATTTTCAATAAGCTTTTTAAAAATTTTAATAAGCTTTTTAACTTACCTTATTAACTTTTTTCAACTGAATTTACAGCAGGTAAAATACTGCATGTATGGAAGTGACCAAAAACAGTAACTTGTCCTATACAGGATTAAAGGTCAGTCATGATCTACTCTAGTTCATTTACTGCAGAGTTATTAACAGTGATTAATAATCCAATATGTACTAATATAGCTAAACAATCATTTAAATTTTTATTGAAGCAACATAATCCCACAGGGATTCTTTTAGACAACGCTTAACTCAGTTGAATTGATAAACGCCCAACTTTAAATTAGAC